ATACCGGACTGCCCATAGAGCCATTGCCATTTAATCTTTAACATGTATAAGAACTGTGCTTATTTAAAAAAAAAACACACCAAAATCCCTTCCATATCTTGATGGTGAAATCAATCAGGAAATGCAGCTTTCCACTTTTTGTCCTTTAACTCTTAAATATAAATATGGCTGCTACATGACAGTCCTCAATGCAGCCAGGTCAGGCAGCAATTTTATTTCTAAGGTACAACTGCAGACCCCTCCAGCTGAGGCCTTTGGAGGAAGATGTGATTGGAAATGTCTGAAAAACTTGTCACATTGGTATTCTTGTCCCCCTGATAGGCTACATTGGTCATCTGCACCACCCTTGCCCCTTACTGATCCACAGGCTAAAAACGAATGGTTATGTGATGAGACTGATTTCCGAGAACCACTGATTGGTACAGATGCCAGGGGCATTTGAACTATGCCTGCAATTGCATTACCGTACTGAAGGTCTAAAGCACCATCTTATCTCTGCAGTTTTTATTAGCATACTATACAGTTAAACATGTGAAAGTCTATTAAGATAACGTGTCGGGAAATGTGACTCTTGGCAATGGTGACATTGGGCTGGAGCTGGTATGAATGGAAATGGCAGGTTGGATGCACTTATGAAGGTGGCCACACATGGAAAAAGAACATTACAGGGTAACCTTACGGCAATAGCTCTAGCTACAACCCAGCAGCAATTTTGATCGTCATCACAAATGATTTGGCAAAGTTGGAAGTTGGATTATTTTGCTGGGTGAAGGTAAGTTTGTTTTCAGCTGAATTTCCACAATGTAACACTGATGGCTTATTCTATTCAATATGCCAAAGAGCACGAGTCACATTTCAGAGCAGTCTTTGCTACGTCTTGAAAACTAGAGCAGTTGCCTCCAACTCTGGTGTATAATGTGCAGGGAATGTCAGTGCTACAAGAACAAAAAACGTAAGTTCCTACTCTACATTATAATCCAGGCCAGGTGGATGGAACTTGCAGGGACAGAGATAGTGAATGCATATAAAACTATATAATCTACAATTAGTCTGGGGAGCCTCTACGTAAGGGAGAACTGAAGCTGGAATGTGTTTTTGACAAAAAACAAAACAAAACCAACAATACTATGTACTGTATGTGACCGACTTAAGCCCATTATGGACAAGAGCAACAATATATAACATAGGTGTGATAAAAACTCTGCAATTGCAAAAGAACAGAGTGTACTTTCCCATAAAACAATGATTAACCAGAACAAAAGAAAGTTGGCTCCCATTCTAGTAGGTATATACAAAACCCCCCTCGAAATTAAGGACAAGGTTCAGAGTCCTTGATATTTGGAAATGTTGTCACCGTGTTGCTTAGAGCAGAATGGCCACCTCAACAAAAGGCTGATGTTCTCGCATCATTCAACAAAAATGTATCTTATTTGTGTATCAGTCGACTGTAGATCCTCAAATCATCTCTGAATTCATGCCAACACGTTCCTTCCTTCTGGTGGGGGGCTACGTTTGTTCCCCATGGTCCTTGTGTGTGCTGTAAAATTAGCCACCACTCCAAGCCCACTCCTGTGATGGACTACAATCTGAATACAAATTAGTACACTAAACATGATATTGTAGTCCCATCACAGGAGTGAGCTTGGAGCGGTGGCTACTTTACAACACACGTACACACACAGTGGAATAAAAGTAGCCACCTTCCAGAAGGAAGGACAGTGTCAGCATGAATTCAGAAATTATATGCGAATCTACAGTCGAGTGACACACAAATAATATACATTTTTGTTGTTAGGGTATGTGAATGCATTTTTAGGATTCAACTCCTGAGCTTAGTCTCACTTTAAAAGGACCAGCATACTATTTCAGTTTACAGAAAAAAGACATTAAAAATGTTCTTATGGCTACAAGCAGACAAGACTTGTGGCCACTTCCTTGGCTCCGTATAACAAGTCATTCCATAAACTACACTAAATATCATACAACTAATATACATGTGATAGTGATACCATATATATGATTAGTCCTCCCAGGTACAAGTCATAGTGAGTGGCTATTCTGCACTCATTTAGATGGAAAAACTGGCTTATGAACAACAACAAAATCATTGATATATATGAAGGACAGCAGCCAAAATATTCCAACAAAAGTCCAATAATAACAAATGACAACTTAAAGCCCAATTGAGAGAAAAAAAAAAATATGCACTGTGTACAACTTGCCTTTTTCCTCAGTGGTTTCCTCAAAATACCAAGATCTAATTTCTCATACTCCATTTCTTTGCTCTGAAACTCTTAAGATGGCCATACACTGGTCAAGTCAGCAGGACCAAAATGCCAGTGTGTGGCCCCTTTGGCAGCTGGTCTGAAAAACCTTGGCTAAGAAGCCGCCAATCTGCCTTTTTATAAAAAAAAATTTTAAACAGTGTATAGTAAGGTTTTATTCTTGCCCCAGGATCTGATAATTTTGTCCATTCCTCATTTGAGGACGGGTCCCCTCCACCCCCACCCACCTCGAAAGCCCATGTGAGAGTACCCCACGGCTGGAAGTCTCTGAGCCACCAATAGGAAGTCTTCACTTCACACAGGCAATGATGTGGACACCCAAAGAAGGACCCTGCTGGATGTATACAGAAGAGGAGAGAAGGCTTGGGACATGAATACAAGTTAAAGGGGCATTTAGATTAGTGTTTTAGACCAGTGCATTTAAAAAATAAATTCAGATGACTAAAATACACATTGTAGTTTTAGTTGCATTTTAGTAATCTGAAATATGTTAGTTTAGTTTTGTCAACTACATCTCTAGTAGAGAAAATTGCAATGTATTTTCGTCAAATTTTTAGTCCTTTTAACTTCGTTTTTATTTTGTTTTCATCAGTGAAAACATGCAGATGACGAAAACTACGACCAAACATTTTATTCGACTAAATTATCACTGATTAAGATTTATTTTTTTGGGCAGCAGAGGGGTGGGAGGAAGGGGATTCTTGTTTTGCCCCGAGTTGATCGATAACGTGGCCTGAGTTAGAGCAAGGAATAAGTAACACAATAACTATGGAAAATTGGTCTTGCAACACAAAGCAATCTATATAAAGCAAAAATGAAAAAACATATTCCAAATGCTACTCAATAGAACTGGTGTCTGTCATATAATTGACATAATCGAAACGGTTCAGGCTCCTTATTTTAAACAAAACCCCATGACAATGTATAACAAATGCATACTCTTCTTCCTTTCTCTTCACACCAAATGCAAATACAGCCAAAGTACTTTGTAATCTGTATACACACACTGCTAGGAAGACAGACTGTACCATGTCATCAATGAGTGTCAATAAGTAAGACATCGTCAATGGTTGCAGAGATGCAAGCGGCTGAGCTGCACAGCGTCATTGGTGGTTATGGTGCAGGTAGGTGCCTGCACCATAACAATGATGCTATGCAGCCCATGGGCTAAACAGACAGGGCAAATACCAATAGCCAATACAGGCCTATGAAGAGAATCACAGGAAGGGAGCTGAATGATGCTGGGCATCACTTAACCCCAAAGAGGATTACCGCCCACAAACATGGAGGGCAATGCTGGAGCATGGAGACAGTTAAGTAGTGCACTACTTTTTTTAAAATAGGAGGTATAGAAAAAAACATTATAAAAAAATAAAAATGTAGTTAGGCTTTAAGCCCAATTACTACTGGTTCCCTTGAAGACACTTTCTAAGTGAGGCCCAAAGCAGGCACCAACAATGTGAATGAACAGCCATGTCTGACTACATTAATTCACGGGAAGTGAAAGCAGACAGAGCATAGCCAATAGAGAAAATAGAACTTAAAGACAATAAACCATTTAGAAGAAATATTGATCTATATGCGTTTATAAAATATGCTCCAACTTATACTAACCCCATGTCCATTAAAACATACAAATCCAATTAAAAGGATTTAATTACCGAGAAGGAAATGTTAATATTTTGTAACCATGTGAGGTTGTGATGCTCTTTTGTATTAGGATCTCCAGATATAATGAGACATGGCTGTCTAGAATTGCTGGATGACCACCATCTTTATGGAAGATGGCTAAATCCACTAAAAACAGAGTCTGAAGGGTCCAGATATTTCAGCTGAGCTTCTGGACTCCAAAGAGATCAACCATCTTGGCCATTTCATACCCACTGTGCTGCTAATCAGCCACTTCCTGCAGAAGTTTTTGCACCATCTACAGAGAAGTTATTGGCAGATCTGGGGTAAAACAGACATCTGACAAATTATGTATATGAGCACTTTAACATGACAAACATTTGTGATTACTGGATGTGAAGGAAAAAAGAAACAGCTCTTGCTCATCGTATATGCAAAAAAGAGTGAAGTAAAAGGTGACGCCCACAATACACTGTACCAAGCTGTTCACATGGTCCTGTCAGTGTACTGTATGCAAGAATCCTTGAAATGCTGTAAAAAAAATAAATGTAAAAAAATGCATGTGTAGTTCCCCAGTGTAATATGTATGCGACTCCGACAATCAGCTCCAATGCATTCCTCTCTCTTCACAGCACATTATCATTCTACATCATGTCAGCTGGGATCTCCCTCAGCAAGGCCTAGGCAGACAACCTTATTGGTGCACGACACATGACATTGGGTCTCTACATAGTTTACCAGCCTGGCCCAGATGCTGATGTACTATCTAGCAGTAAAGCTTTGCAAAATGGCTTACCACCTACATGGAGCTTCTTGTCAGCACGACAAATCATTTAGTACAGTTCCTATGTGCTACCCTTTACAAATGTGGGCAGACTGCATACGAGTGTATACCCGCATCCTGTCTAAGGATATTCTATTACTGGAAGGGTTAACTGATAGCCACTTCAGCAGGCAGCAAAAAAAAAAAAAATGGAGATCAATAGGCACTATAAGTTAAAAAAAAATCTCGAAGATGCAAAATGATCAAATAACAGCGGGGAAAAAAAAACCACAAGACAAAACAAAGAGTTTTTGATGTTTCCTGGACATTATCCATAGCACTGGATGGAATCATGATGCTGATGAAAAGGTCGGTATCCATTTGGACTCATCCAGTGTTGAAAGGAAACCTAAATGGAGTCTGTATGATGGCATGGCGTTTTGCGTAGGTGGTGTCAGAATTGTCATCAAAGGGCACTCTGTTGCTTTATAAAAGCAGTTCTTTCATTGTAAGTGCAAAACTCCTCTGTCTCAGACTCTGATAATCCTTCTTCCTGCCACATTTGTGATGGGATTCCTTTATAAGAGATGATTCCACTGTCCAACATGTACAACTTCTTCTTGCCCAGGATAACCCCGGAACGTACCTGGAGGAATAAGAAGACACTCACAAAGACAATGACTATCGTGATGCAGCTAAGGGAGGCCACGACGACTGGTAAGCTTGAGTAACCCTTCGATGTTTCTTGCACAGCCTCTTTTAGTGATGGAGATGCCCTGCTTATCTGAACTTGATGGGAACAGGAAAAGTCCAGCACATTGTAGTGTGAGTGAGCTGGGCAGCTGAGGCAGTCAGTTGGAGTGGTTCCTTTGCAGGTAGAACATGAAGGATGGCAGGGCACACACACATTGGCCAGGAGAGGTGCTATGTTGTTCTCCAGTGTGTACTGGATACTCTGGACACTGGCTGTGAATCCTGGAGGACAGTTCTTTACACAAGTCTTCTGATGGAGGAAAAAGCCTTCTTCACAAACTGCATAAGGACACAAGAACACAACCATTAAAGTTCTGCTGTACAGCATGGATGATCTACATAATCAAAAACAGCTTTAGATATCTTTATTATCTTGCCTTAAAAGTCTGCTCATATTTTCAGAATATTGCTTTCAGCTAAGTGGTCCATGACAATAACCCAAGCCACTATCTGGCAATAGCTTTCACTTGCAATATGAAAGCACTCCTCAGTTTTGCAACTGGCAAATGAGCTTTGTATGTAGGTAGCCATCCAAGACAAGCAGTCACAAAACTGAAAGGAGGAAATTGAGAAGAGAAATCAAGAAGATGGATGTCATTGGATGACCAACATGTGTTCCCACACAAAACTAAAAAACCCCTCAAAACTTTAGAATAAAGAATCATTCTAAAGCCGTGAGGCCGTCACGGCTCAGGCTAAACCTTTCTTCCATGCCTGGGCACACGGATTTCTACCCTAGCGTGAACTTATAATTACTGGATGATGGTGTCATCAGGGGGGCTGGTCTAGAAACAGGAGCAGCTGTTTCACAAAGACACTGCAATGGATGAAGAAAAAAAATTATATGCAAATGAGCAGCTGCAAACGTTTTATTGCAAATAGATCATTCACAATGGACTTGTCCGGCACTGTGTGAAGGATAATGTTACCCAAGTCTAGGTCCACTTTAAATGCTAATAAAACTATTTTATCTACTGTGAAGTCTTAACTGTAATTTTCACATCTTGAAAAATATATCTGCCATACGGATGGGAGTAAAGAATTCACGTTAAAAAATAAAATGACGACGTCCTTTTACATGCCATTTCACCAACAACGAATTCTTATATTACAACTCGGCTCAACCCATAGCAGACAATGAGCATTTAAAAGCATGTTATCATTACCAGCTGATTGCCCACAGTGTATGTTTTGCATCACCGCCCTCTGCACAATGCCAATTGGAGTTACATGAACACACAGCACACTCCCTTTTTTGTACCACCTATCTACTGTACAGATCTGAGCACAAAGCCTTAAACTGGCCATTCCAAGTTTTCACAGAGAAAAGAATAAAAGTAATGAGTACCAGCTTGACATCTGGTCATCCTGATCCTGGGATAGAACATTCACTAGACAAATGAACAATCCATCAAGAAAAAGGAGACATACTAAAAGTAGCGAGCACAAAAAAATTATATAAAAAGGTAAAAAAGAAAATAGCATGGGCAGCAAGAGATAATGAGGCTTGTTAAAATTGTATGGGTCACCCAAACACAATGAAGGTTCCTATTCAGGAGGGTAGGTCAACTCAAATACTACATCAAATCACCTGGCACTAGTTTATATTACAAAACAGTTTCAAGGGTGACAGGTGCACTTCACAGTAAGGGACATATCTGGAACGAGCATTTCTGTTTTAAAGACAAAAACCAGAAATGGGCACAACATACTTTTCCAAGTCCGGATGACACACAGCTCTTACAGAGAGCATTGGTATGTATGATGGCATAGCCTTATGAAAAGCTTATCAGCAGTTTGCAAATTTGCTGCTGGCAGATGAAAGCAGGATTTGACCTCACATCTCACGGCTAGCCAATAGGATGACCTGTTCTCTCCTAAATGATAGTGTGGGGTGAGCGCAGACTGCTGAAGACAGATACATCAAAACACTAAAGTGGACACAGTGTGATATTTGTGATATTAAGCCTAGAATAAATTTATTTCTGTAAACTACAAAGCTATAAAAGATTAATGCTTTGCATAACGATATGAAGTCTTTGCACAGCTGTGTGGGAAAGGAGAGACGCTGCAGTTGTAAATTACATCCTGCTGTGACTAGAGCAGAAACACCATATACACTGACAGATGCCAATCAAATATTAAGCAGCACACACTTCATCCATCATTGCTCACGGTAGAGATGTAAGTGTGGCCATCAGGAGAGAAGGGAGGGTGAATGGAGAGCAGTGGACACATTACCATACAGTGGAAGCAGGTCAGCGCCGACAAGGGCAACTGAAGGGGATCTATATTTGGAGCTCTCAGATTAAGTACTATTACCTGATGTAATGCAATAGAATAAATGATGTATGTATACAAATTGAAGCAAAACAAAAGTGGAGGTGTTGTCCCAATCAGTCAGACTGGAACGGTAATTTGAAAAGTACAAGGGAAGCGTCTTCTTTCACGTGCACACACATCCTGAGCATTTTACCTTGTTAAAAACTGTGCAGAAATAGTTAATGAGGATAGGGGGGAACACGCCAGTGGTGCTGTGGAAAGAATTTCACACGCTGAAAGCGTTGCACTTCAATTACGGGAGGACCCCTTATCTGGTAAGCACCATTTCCCAGGCAGTCAACTAATACAATTCCATATCTGTACGACATCTTGCAGCAAAGGCTGCAAGTGGGACATTTATTGGTAGATCCCAGCTACAGAAGTAATCAGATACTTTGAAAGGGGTAGAAGAAAAAAATATTACAGTTAATATTGAAATGCAAGCCTTAAAATGCATACAGTGAACATAATCTACATGCTCAGGGCTTCACTTATTCAGCCAAGCATACAGTAGCTATAGGGTACCACTCCTACTCTACCCCCTTTAGTTTGGAATCTGGAAATCCCTTTTGTATACCAATTTGTAACACAGGGCAGGTATTCCAAGCACATCCACTGCAGGCTTCTTGCAATCTCCTAAATACATTAATAAAGCCAGAGGTATTAAAGGGACAGCACTAAAATTTCTCACCGACACCTGTCAGATTACAAAAATAGTGCAACAGGCCCATTAAAAACAGAACTAGACTGCCTGCATCTCAAAGAGCTGCCTGACGGACCCTACAGCAGAAGCTGGCATCAGATGAGGCTGCAACATCCACCCGGTAGAACTTAGATAGACCGGACAATGCATTGTCCCTCAAAGCCCCTGTGTCAGACGATTCTTGGACAAGGGTTCCACAGTTTAGCACTTTCAAAGTGATCTATGCATTATGCATTATGCATATGTACTAATAGGAGACCCATGCAAGAAATAAGCTAGGCAAACTCAAGCAAACCTTCACAACAGAAGGGCAAAGCTACAGGCAGAGCTGGTGTTTTGTGATCATGTTACAATGGGTGACAGGGAGGGGGGCAGCTGTTTACAGTCTGACACCCTAGTGTCAGACTGAATTTCCTGTGGAGAAAATGTTGAATCTTTAGGTTTCAGGCCTATCAAAAAGTTAATAAAAAAAAAAAAAAAA